GCCCGGGCGGGAGCGGGGGCGGCCCGGGGCGACGCCGCCGTTGCCGCTTTAGCGCAAAGAGAGCGGCTGCGGTTTAGGGAAGCGGGGCTCAGCCCCTGCCGCGGCGTCCGCTGCTCCTTCGCCAAACCCGCTGTGCCAAAGCACCGTCGCCCTGTTTTCGCGAGTTTTGCGCCGCCTGAGCGGCGACCCAGCCGACCCGACAGGAGCTGCGGCGCGGCGGGGCCGCGCGTCCCGCGCAGCTCAGCGGAACCCACGAGCGGTTTCTCCGCGTCTCCTTCGCGGCACCCAGCTTCCCACGGACGGGCGGAAGCCCTTTCGTAGTTGCTGTGGCCGTTTGTATAAGTTTTTCCCCCCTCTTGAGATGACAAGTAACTTATTTTGTTTCCTAATGAGCTAGGAATTTAAATAAACGATTTTCTTTTATATCAGGATAAATTTACAGGGCAGATTACGCATTCTGGTTCCATTCTGGTTGGATTGAAGTTTTCCACTTTGTGCAAAGGTTTGAATGAAGCCCTTCACCTATCTTTTAATCCCTCTCGGCCACACCGAGCCGGGCACGTTGCAATTGGGGCAGCTTTCAGCACCAAGAAAGGCGTTTTCCAGTGTTGTGTCTCTAACTGCCGGTAATGTAATTTTATTCGAATATTCGAAAATTGAAATTCATGATTATGAGAATTAAAATTAAATTCGCGTGAGAATATGAGGAGCTGCTTTTAGGCAATCGATAGCATGTTTGCAATGCGACGTTGATTGCTTGGACCCGTTAATGTATGTTTTGAGGAATGAATGAGAACAATTTTTACCAGGGTTTTCTCCTGGGCGATTTTGGTAACCCGTGACGTTTGTGTTATGAGGAATTGTTACCGTAGGGGTTACACTGAGCACAACCAGCTCCCTCCCTCAAGCAGCCCTCAACAATGAAACAAAGACAATCGATCCCCTTCAATTCCATTTATTCAGATCGTATTATTCTTGTAGTTTGGACTTCAACGTAATACAGCATATTGCACTTACCAGAGAGCAGCACAACAGAAAAAGTACAATACTTCAGTTTATTCCCAAGGAAGAATAAGATGTTGTGATAGTTGTTGCTCTTCTTAAATATATGAATCCAACTGAAAATCTAAGTATATGTACACAAGATTTACTAAGTCCCTGAATATGCCATTCAAAATTTTACACAGACTTTTTTGCTTTTCTTATATTTTTTACAGAGATATACAGTATGTCACACACAGTTTCAGCTTGAGAAAACTTTGCACAGTTATACCCCAGCTACGAGGCTGTTGGGTTTTTTGTTTTGTTGTTGTTGGTTTTCTTGGAAGGATCCCCCCCAGATTTATGCCAATGATTATTTGGATAATTTTCTGCAGGATTGTCCCCCCATTCCCCACCCCCTCCCCCTAGCCAGAATGTTGAAGGAAATACCAATTAAAAATAAGTCTAGAAGAAGAAAGCCATTACATCATGACGAAGGTTAAACTGTATATATTGCACATCGGTACAGAAACATAATGCAGTAACGCTTTCATCCCCGCCTTTCCCTCTCTCCCACGTGCCCCTCCTTGCTCCCGGGCTGGGCCGCGTGGGGGAACCTAACTGTACTCGTAGTCTGACGAGTCCTCCTCGGACACCCCTGTCAGGTCTCTGCGGTAAGAGTCCATGCCGTTCTCCTCCATCTCGCCCGCTGGCCGGAGGGTTTTGCCCACGCCTTTGCGCTCCTCCATTTTGATGGTGTCGTAGAGTCCCTTAGGTTCATCTTCAAGGAGGATGTTCCTCTCTGAGTGAGAGGGTTTCATTTGGCAGACGTTTTTGAGGAAGAGGAGGACAGGGGCGTAAAGCACGTTGGCGAGCCCCATGCCCAGGTTGAGCTGCGCAAAGCCCATAGTGTGCACAATCTGGCCGGCCACGATGGGCCCCAGGGCGTACGCCACAGAGTAGGAGATGTCTGCGATGGCGTAGACGCTGCCGTAGACAGAGACGTGGCGCACGTCCACCAGGAAGGCCAGGGTGGGCAGCAGGGCCGTGTCCACCAGGGCGATGCCGAAGCAGATGCCGCAGAGGGGAACGATGACCTGCCCAAAATTCCTGCAGGCCGGCACCAGGCAGGAGCTGGCGCCGATGATGGCCATGCCCAGGGCCCCGTAAAACCACTGGAGGTGGGGGTACGCGGCGGCCAGCCGGACAGTGACGTAGACGCCCAGCACGTGGGGGAAGAAGGCGGGCAGCCAGGTGAGGCCCACCTCCCACTCGCTGGCCCCCATGGACTCCTTCATCCAGTTGGCGATGGTGGGCTCCAGGAAGGCCAGGGGGATGTTGCAGGTGGCCAGGGCCCCCGCCACCACGGCGATGTAGGGGTCGACCATGAGGCGGTGGATGGGGGTGCCGACGGGCATGTTGGCCCGCGCCCCGGCGGCGCAGGGTGGCGCCAGGGCCAGCAGCAGCAGCCCGTCGAGGAGGCAGACGCAGGCCAGCACCAGGAAGGGCACCCGCTTGCCGGCGAACTCGTAGAGGACGCCGCCGAAGGGGGGGGCGGCCAGGCTGCCGAAGGAGATGCAGGCCAGCGCCGTGCCCAGGGCGCGGCTCCGCGCCGGCTCCTCGGCGTAGCGGTCGGCGATGAGGGCGATGCCGGCGGTGTCGGCGAAGGCCGAGCCCAGCCCCTGCAGGCTGCGCGCCGCGAACAGCGTCGCGTAGTTCTCCGCGAAGGCGAAGGTGGCGGTGGAGAGGAACATGACGGCCAGCCCGGCCAGCAGCGGCGCCTCGTAGCCCACGCGGTCGATGAGGGTGCCGCTGAGCGGGTTCACCAGCAGCTGCAGCATGGCCTTGGAGGCGAACAGCACCCCGATCTGCACGTCCTCGTTGCCCCCCGCGGCCGGCGGGTACCGCGGCCGCAGGAGGCTCCGGTTCCCCCCCCCGCCGCCGCCGCTCTCGTTGCCCCCCGCGGGCGCGAACGGGCCGGCGACGTCCCCCCCGCCGCGCATGGCCGCGATGTAGTCGGGGATGATGGGCACGATGACCATGTAGAGCATGTTGTCCAGCAG